CAAGACTCCTGCCTATGAAACAATGTTTAACAGAATTGAATGCTGATCTGCTGTGTCTCAAATCCAAGAGCCTATGTTTTGCCTGTATCATTCCTAATATTCCTCATGTAAAAGCTCAGTTATCTACAAACAATCAATTTGAGACTGCTAATTATGTGAAAAAAAACTAAATTTGTTCCACTTCAGTTAATTTTTTTTTTTTTTCCTCTCAGTATATAAACCAGTAGCCATGAGTTTTGGATCCTGATGCATTATTATGAGTTTTGGATTGGGTGCATTATTTAAAGCTAAACCCTCTCTGTGCCTCAATTTATTCTCACAAATAGAGGATTAATGGAGCATAATAAGGAAACTGTACACTCCAATGGGTGCCTGTAACAGATGTTATAGAAATGAGGGAACTTTCTGATTCCTAAAGAATAAGGACTTGACTCCCGTGTTGACAACATGTTAGGTTTTGCTTATATGATTTGCTTATACGATTTGCTTATACGATTTGCTTATATGATTCAACAAATCCTTGAGGGCACATACCACCAAAATAGCATGTGAAGACCCCTTTCCCAACAAAACGGGGTCTGCTCCCAAGGCAGATTAAACGGACATAAAGTCCTGTCTTCTTCATCATCTTCCCCTGGCACCTGTGGAGTATTATTTGCTCTCTTCCATAAGAAGGCCAAACTTTTCTTGACTCTAACAGGTCGAGAAGAACAGGGAGGGCTCAGCCAGTCTGTCTGCTCATGCATCAGACCAAATTGAACCCCTGACCTCTAATGGAACATGTTGATTTTCCATGCAAGAGACAACATCCATTACAGTGATATCCTTTCCCCTAGTCTTGATTTTTAATGCACAGTTTGAAAAGAAAATACTCACATAACAATTCATTTTGCACATGGATTATTTTTCATTGGGTAGAGATGAAGTTTAGTAATTTTAATTACTTAGTTTCATTAAGGATTTCATTGCAATTAGCACAACTTTCATTTAAATAAAGATGAAGTTTACTGCATGATGAAAATTTTTTGAATTATGTGACATTACACTTATGTATTTTTTATCAAAACATTTGATTGCACATTAACAATGCATTACATTTGACAAATACAAAATAAACTCTGGAGAATAAACATAATGATTTGTTTTGTGTTTCTTACATGAATGTAAATCATGACTCCAAAATATTTGTTTCATCTTGGTAAGAGATGGGGAAAGCTCCTTTAGTTTTGCAGCTTTCTCTCTGGAGTAATTTCCTGATGATTTTGGTGGGTGTGAGGAGGTGCATTCAGGCTGCCTCCTCCTCCTGTGGACAGTCTGGATAGCTGAGGGTTTAAATCAACCTCTGGCACTTGGAATACTTGTCTGTGGGTATAGGGCTATGTCTATGCTATTGACTAAAACAAGGTGAGGGAACGTTTTTGTGTCCTGAGGACAAGGAGCACTGCCTGGCTGCTGTCCAATCTATACAATGCAGGGCCATAGGTCTCCCCTAGGCCCCGTGTGGTGTACATCTGGACCCAGCACATAATTTGTTTTCTATGCATTTTTCAGTTCAAATAATATACGAGGCTACAGTAATATAAGGGCTATATTGTGGCTATTAGAACAATATTTAACTATCATGAAATTGAGGATGTGTTGCATATCCTGATCTGTGATGTGAAGATACCAAGAGAGCTTTGAGGATGTACCATCTTCTGTAATAGCTTGGGAAAAATTCCTGAGAAGGAGGAAACTAAACCTAGTTCAGTCCCATCCTGACATAGAGAATGGCTCTGGCACTGTTGCACCCCTTCCAGGTATTGCTTGGAGAAGAGCTTGTTCTGTTTGTACCAAAAGCATACCAAGAAGCACACTAACAGTTCAGCCCTGTGTGTAGTCAGCAGCACACTGCTTACACCAAGATCCTGTTTTATTTAGCAGGCAAAAAGAGAGCTAGTTTAGTATGGATTTCATTCTTCTTTCCTCTTTCCTGAAAAGGTCTTACTTCTGTTACACAGAAATGTCCATAGTACTATAAAACTGGTCAGTATCAGCAGAGATATAGCCTTGTATACCAAGGGGAAAAGATGTACTGATCTAACTGTGTCTGTTTTAGTGGCACTGTACTGCTTTATCAGCATATTTTAAGGGACATAAAAATGTTCCCACTAAGGCAAGGTCACTTTAATGGCAAAGAAGTCAAATGTTTAGTAGATAATAGCCTGTACAACTTTCCTAGCACTCTGTATTTGTGCTGCTTGTTAAGTCTTGTGTGCTAAGCTATCCTATAATGCAGCAGCAGACTTAGGTCTGTTAAGTCTGGCTTTTTGGTACATCAGGCTTCTCTCTGGTGGACAAAAACTTATCTGCAGCTTTGTTATCCACCTGGTTTCCTTATGACAAGTGTCCTTATGACAAAGGAAAGAGCTGCTTCATCTTACTTAGAATCATAGAATCATAGAATACTTAGGGTTGGAAAGGACCTTAAGATCATCTAGTTCCAACCCCCCTGCCGTGGGCACAGACACCTTATGCTAAATCATATCACCCAAGGCCTCGTCCAACCTGGCCTTGAACACTGCCAGGGATGGAGCATTCACAACCTCCCTGGGCAACCCATTCCAGTGCCTCACCACCCTAACAGGAAAGAATTTCCTCCTTATATCCAATCTAAACTTCCCCTGTTTAAGTTTTAACCCGTTACCCCTTGTCCTATCACTACAGTCCCTAATGACGAGTCCTACCACAGCATCCCTATAGGCCCCCTTCAGATACTGGAAGGCTGCTGTGAGGTCTCCACGCAGCCTTCTCTTCTCCAGGCTGAACAGCCCCAACTTCCTCAGCATGTCTTCATACAGGAGGTGCTCCAGTCCCCTCATCATCCTCGTGGCCCTTCTCTGGACTTGTTCCAACAGTTCCATGTCCTTTTTATGTTGAGGACCTCAGAACTGCACACAGTACTCCCAGGTGAGGTCTCAGGAGAGCAGAGTAGAGGGGCAGGATCACCTCCTTCGACCTGCTGGTCACGCTCTTTTTGATGTAGCCCAGGATACGGTTGGCTTTCTGGGCTGCAAGCGCACACTGAAGCCGGCTCATGTTCATTTTCTCATCAACCAACACCCCCAAGTCCTTCTCCACAGGGCTGCTCTGAATCTCTTCTCTGCCCAACCTGTAGCTGTGCTTGGGATTGCTCCAACCCAGGTGTAGGACCTTACACTTGGCATGGTTAAACTTCATAAGGTTGGCATCAGCCCACCTCACAAGCGTGTCAAGGTCCCTCTGGATGGCATTCCTTCCCTCCAGGGTATCAACCGAACCACACAGCTTGGTGTCATCGCAAACTTGCTGAGGGCGCACTCAATCCCACTGTCCATGTCACCTACAAAGATGTTGACCAAGACCGGTCCCAACACCGATCCCTGAGGGACGCCACTCATTACTGGTCTCCAGCTGGACATTGAGCCATTGACCACAGCTCTTTGTGTGTGGCCATCCAGCCAGTTCTTTATCCACCGAGTGGTCCATCCATCAAATTGATGTCTCTCCAATTTAGAGACAAGGATGTTGTGTGGGACAGTGTCGAACGCTTTGCACAAGTCCAGGTAGATGACATCAACTGCTCTACCCCTGTCCATCAGTTCTGTAGCCCCATCATAGAAGGCCACCAAATTGATCAGGCAGGATTTCCCCTTAGTGAAGCCATGCTGGCTGTCACCAAGCACCTTGTTGATTTTCATGTGCCTTAGCATGCCTTCCAGGAGAATCTGCTCCAAGATTTTGCCAGGCACAGAGGTGACACTGACTGGTCTGTAATTCCCTGGGTCATCCATTTTCCCCTTCTTGAAAATGTGGGTTATATTTCCCTTTTTCCAGTCATCGGGAGCTTCACCTGACTGCCATGATTTCTCAAATATGATGGCCAGTGGCTTCGCAACTTCATTCTCCAGGTCCTTCGGGACCCGCAGATGGATCTCATCAGGTCCCATGGACTTGTGCACGTTCAGATTTTTAAGATGGTCTCGAACCAGTTCCTCTCCTACAGTGGGCCCAAGGTCTTCACTCTCACAGTCCCTGCATCTGCCTTCCAAGACTTGGGTGGTTTGGTCAGAGCCTTTGCCAGTGAAGACCGAGGCAAAGAAGTCATTCAGAACCTCAGCCTTCTCCAAATCCTGTGTAGCCAGTTCTCCCGAGAGCTTCCTGAGGGGGCCTACATTCTCCCTAGTCTGTTTTTTATTTGCTATGTACCTGTAGAATCCCTTCCTGTTATCTTTAATACACCTAGCTAAGTTTAATTCTAACTGGGCCTTAGCTTTCCTAACCTGGTCCCTAGCTTCCCGGACAACACCCCTGTACTGTTCCCAGGCCACCTGTCCTTGCTTCCACTTATTAAAAGCCTCTTTTTTAATTTGAATTTTCCTCAGGAGCTCCTTATCCATCCAAGGAGGTCTCCTGGCCCTCCTGCTGCACTTCCTTCTGGTTGGGATGCAACACTCCTGAGCTTGCAGCAGATGATCCTTGAATATCAACCAACAGTCTTGGGCCCCCCTGCCCTCTAGGGCTGTATCCCATGGAACCTTCCTAAGCAGGTTCCTGAAGAGGCCAAAGTCTTCTCTTTTGAAGTCCAGGGCAGTGAGCTTGCTGCATGCTCTTCTCACTGTCCTGAGGATCTCAAATTCGAGCATCTCATGATCCCTGCATTCAAGGCTGCCCTGGAGCGTCACATTTCCAACGAGCCCTTCCCTGTTGGTGAGCACGAGGTCAAGCACGGCATCTCTCCTTGTCAGCTCCTCTATTACTTGCAGAAGGAAGTTGTCTTCTACACAATCGAGGAACCTCCTGGATTGCTTGTGCCGGGCTGTACCGTCCTTCCAACAGATGTCAGAGTGGTTGAAGTCACCCATGAGAAAAAGGGCCTGTGAGCGTGAGGCTTTTTCCTATCTGTCTATGGAGTGCTTCATCCATTTTTCAAAATGTAAAAACAAAAACAAAACAAAGCAAAAAACAAATCAAAACCCTGGGTTTAAATGTATTCACCATTGCATCTTTTCCTTCTGTAAATCAATTCAGATTTTGTAAACTAAATGCACATTCTAATTCTGAGATGCTTGCACTTTCGAAGTGTATCAAACTGAAATGACCGTGAAGAAAAATTGTATTCTCGTTTGTATGACTGCATGTTTACTGTCTGAGAACTCTTAGAGAGTCTTGTGCACAGAATTAGAGAGCATTTAGTTTTCAAACTAAATTTCTTGTCCTAGCAAAGTGAAAACCGATGTTCATGACTTCTAGGCAGGTACTTCTACAACTTCAAAATAGTCATTGGGTAGAATCATGTAGCCTTTTCCTGCCAGTATGTCTTTTTCTTTCTGAAAATGAACAACCTCTCTCAGTTTTTCAGTTTGTTTTTCCTGACGCCGGCATCGCTGCTGCACTGTCTTGAATTTCTTCCACAGTTTTTCAACTTGCTCCTCCAGCTGCTGAATTAGTTTTCATTGATGAACTGTATCCTCTATGGTATAGTTGTGATCACAAAATACGGCGAGATTGCTAGGCTTCTGCAGAGGAGGCATCAATAATCCAATACTTGGATCGACTAATCTGGCATCTATCTGAGAGATATGAAATGGAGGAGTTGACGGAGATGCTGGTAGTACTGAAGATGCTGGTGGCGGAGGTGGCGGCGTCGGTGGCAGTGGGGGAGGCGGTAGCAGATCTTCTGGCTGTTCTGTAAATTCTTCAGGCTTTTTGCTAGGTTCAGTGTAACAAAATATCGTGGGCACGGCGAAGAAGAGATAGTGGCACAAAACGTTTCTCTTCAAATTTTCTAGAGTCAAATGTACCTCTGAACTTCTCACAGAGAGGAGTCTCTCTTGAAGGCCTGTGAATCTTTTCTTCTCCATCTCAGGGCTTTTGCACGTTTTCACCTTGAAAGCATATATTCACAAACTGAAGCAACAGAGCCCATTATGCCACTTTCATTTATGTCCATAGCAAAGGTTAAAGCGCATACCAGAGCAAGCCTGCTTTTCAGACCCCTCTTTCTTGCCTTAAAGAAAATTTTAATGGTCAATATTAATATATTAAACTGTTTTAGAGAACTGTAAATAGCCTTTGGTGAGATTTTTTACATGTGAGAATCTGTGAAAGAACGTGTTGATTTTGAAAACATTTTCTGACCTCAGAGGAAACTCCCTCAGACTGTTACAGAGCCTCTTCGCAGTCAGGTGCTGGGAGTCAGTTCAGGCTTTAACCAATTTTAAGATACGTGTTTCATGCAAACTTGCTCTCAAAAGTAAGACTTAATGCTTCTCTTTTTTGTCAACAAAAAAATTGCAGATGCCTGAAAGAAACCAGAGCTCTAAACAAGATTTTATCTTGTCAAAAACAGTCACTCCAGATACAAAATGACACATTTTTATTGCTCTTTATGAAAAGAATCTTTTCTCTGAGACTAGTGGGTGCTCCAGGAAGCAGCAGGAGATTCAAGGGAGACTGACAGGTACTTTGATTTGAACAAGAAAAATGAAAGATCTTAATGACTCCAGACACTGTAGGGTCCTTACCTCATAAATATGTCTGATTCATATTCATTGCTTTCAGCAGGCTGAATCATTTCAAGCAAAATGATAGCAGGAAAAAAATCTGCTTTTTCTCTTACTATTGAGTAGCATCACTCATTCTTGAAATCATTTCTGTGTTAGAAAAATTTTACAGGGGTCCTGCGGCATTGTGGGTTCTCCAAATAATTCACTGATGATGTTAGGGCTCTGCACATGGACTATATTGCAGAATTGAGATCTAAGGAGTTTAGTAAATCCTTAATTTCCATTAATGTCATTGAAGGTTGCCATTTCCTGGGAAAGGATTTGTTGGGTCCCTTATAAGACCTGGCTACTGAACACTGTTCTGAGATTGTCAGACTTTTTTCCTCTGTCCATCTCCTCCAGCACTGTGGAATCACCCACATCCCTCATTTTAAAAGTTGATTTAATAGTTATTTTTTGGATGTACATTGGATGCAAATTTTTGCTTAGTTTGTAAGAAAGAAATCAATTTTTTGAGAGGAAAACGCTGTTTTCTAAAAATATCAAGAATTCGGGAATGATGAGTTGTTTTAAATCATTGTATTTTATTGCTTTGTATGATAACTTTCTTAGGCAATGCTTCCCTGAATAGGTCTCGTTATTTAGATTTCAAAAGGGACCAAGTAGACACTTTAAGACTGATAAGATTCTGTCCACTAACAGTTCTAAACCATGAGAAGTTAATAGCTATTATAATGAAGTCCATTATCTAGGATTTTTTGGTGCCAGGTCTTTGACATACTCCTTTCTCTTCCTTCATGTTTGGAGATTTTTTAGAGATACACATATTACTTGAGCAGAAATAAATATTTACTACATATTATTGCATTTTAAGGCTTCTTTTCTCAAACATTTTTGATCCCACAGTAGAATCTATTACAGCTTAAAGCAGTAATTCATATAACAACACTTAAAGCTCTGGGCCTGCTTAGAACCCATGTGGCCTTACTGGACTGCACTGTACTCTTAATTCTATCCATGCTAAATTAGAGCAAGTTTATTTAAGTCATCTGAGAATAGAAACTGAATTTCTGTCAGGAAGCTTCCTCATCAATTTTTGTCCTTTTCCTTAATGTGAGAGCTCCTTCCCCCTCACCTCTGTATGTTTAAGAAATGATCAGTTATCTATTTCTCAGGACTGCTCATTGGAATAATGTTTGCCAAAGTGTCACCTTGCAACTTGGATTACTATTAATCTGTTGCCGATTCTTTTTGGTTTTGTTTGCTTGTTTGTGTTTTTTAATATTTATTTTTGGGTGTAACATTTCCTACTAATGAAGAAGAATGGCCACCATCCAGAAATGTAAGGACCCTTCTTTGTCCATGGCAGAGCTTTTCGCATTCCATCTAGAAAAGTGATACAAAGATCATTTTTCCAGGTCACTAATAAGGTCACCCCTTCATTTTCCTGACTTTACGGCTTACTGGTTTACACTGCAGCAAAAATAAAGTAATTTGTCTCTGCTTTAAAGAACACAAATGACCTAACTCCACCCATCCTGCTGCTTCTGTCTCCTTTACTACTGTGAGATCATCTACCCCTGTTAATCAATCAGCCAAGTTTGCCAGACGTCATCATTTGGTGGTTCTTCCTTTCTAAAATACCCAAAGAAAACCCTCCTTCCTTAGACTGCTATCATGTTAGGAAGGTCATTGGTAAAACTTCCCAAACTTTGTCTTTTTGGCTCCTTAAACTCTCTTTGATGTTGTTTTCTCTCATCTCTGCTTAGATGATAAGCTGTTTGAAACAAGGACATTGCTGAAGCAAAGTCTTTGGTCCCTCATTAGATGGTACAGTAAGTAATAATAATGCCAGCAGAAGCAAGGAGTTGGGTAATATAGACAAAATATAGTAGCAACTCCAAATTTTATTTAAAAATAGGTATTTTCCAGTGTATTCTTTTGATTTCTCTATTAACAGTTGTAGAAGATAATAACTGAAGTCACCATTTTCCTAAGCAGTTTTCTCATATTGGCTGGTTAATGCTGTGTTTCATGCTGACCATTTATATAACATATCCTCAAGAACAGTTGTTCGCATCACTGCATTACTTGTAATTGCTTAGCCTCCCATTTAGTTTTAGCAAATCTTCCAACAGACTGAAGAGAAGTGATGCCAAGGAATTTCAGAAAAGCCATACTGAAATGTGTCAGGATCTGATCTGGCTAATCTGAGCACCAAACTGAATGGACAAATAATTTAACAAGGGGTGAAGGATGTCTAGCTCATGATGGAATCAGTCCAGGAAGAAATAAAGTCCAGTAGATCCAAACAGAAGATGAATGACATCCTAAAGGCAACAAAGATAATTTGGATCAAGCCAAAACCATTATGCAGATCTTCAAATCAGAGATGATGAAGCTACCTCACAGAGTCTGGCAAGAAGGGAACTGTGTGATTCTTTTAAAGAAGTGAAAATTGCCCATGATGAGTAGAGCAGAAGGGAAGAGAGTCAGCAGAGGTCCTGTGTTCATAATGAACTACTGTAGCAGGCAGCTGCACTTAGAACTGTGTGGGGACTCATCAACAATGATATTGGGATGAGAAATGTTAATTACAGCTGAACAGCCTCCCGGTTTGGCAGAAATCCCAGGACAAAGCGGTGGCACTTGGGCTGCAGATGCAATATTTTATAGAATCCCTGCTGTTAAAAATGCTATAGTTTCCTCAGTTTTATATATTGGTTACAGATGAACTCAAAACAGAATTTTGTTCCTTTTAGATAGAATCTGATGGTTTTACAGAGGTTTCAGTAGCAGGCTGATCATCAAAAGTGTGGGGTTCTGTTTTTTTCTTCTCTGGAGCTTAGAAAATTTGGTTGTTGTTTAAATACCAAGTACACTACCAAGGTGAAAGTCAATTCAGTGATTACCATACTGGGACCACGCTAGATACAAATGACTTCATTAATTTACTGGAGAAAAATCATTACTGTACAGAATTTGTAAGTAGTTTCTAAAGGTAATTATGCCCCGAGCAAACAAGTTACACACCAGTAGTCCTGAGACACAGAGCCATGCCCATGCCTAAGGAGTACACCCAGAGTTCCCACAGAGTCTTGATGACTTGAAAGGGAGACAGGCTGCCATCACAGTTTCAGTGGCAATTGCACTGCTCCATGACTCACATTGCATTTTGTACAGGACACACTGGAACACTTTCCTTGTTGAATTTGGACATATTTGGCAAAGTGCCTGTAGAAACATCAGCTGGGTGGGAAGTACCTATCCTCTGTGAAGTTCATCAAGATTTTAAAGACTCCCAGGTTCCCCATCAGGATATAACAAGACTTTGAGAGCTGAGGAGACATGTTTTCTATAACTGTCAGAGTCCTTGGGAACTGCACATTCACAGTGGTGACTTTGGTGAATTTAAACCACAGAAGTTTTGATTTTTTTTTTTGTGTTGACTTTTTAGATTATTTGGTTTTTTTTTAGTTTTGATTTGTTTTGTTTGCTTGTTTCTTATGTGGATTAATCTTTCTTTTAATTTAAACTCGTAGAACCCCTCTGATCCTGGGCACATACTGTTCCTCATTCTCAACCTCTACCTCATTTTCTCAGTCTGCTCTGCTTGTAAACATAAAATTTCCTTAAAGAGTTTGGTGATAAAATAAAGAACTTGCTGGAGTATGCGACCTGGAGTTGGGCAGTTAATAATTAGTGTTAGAAGTTTGAGTCAGACATAAGTTTCTCTTTCCTAATCCCTTAGAAAGGCTTTCTTCCAGTATTACCTTAACCTACCTGCTTTAGCATTGAACACTCATTGTTCTTTTAAGCTTGTCTTCAAATTTCTCCTAAATAACCACTGTAGAGTACAACACTGTTAGAGCTATTCCACTCTACATAGAATAAAATTAAACATTTATTAAAGGACAAGAGAGACTGATGACCTTAACCGAATGGCTGGGCAATCACTTTGCTGGGTGAGACCAAGTTCAAACGACCTCATAGTTTATTAATGTTGGTATCATTCAGTGTATTAGAACAATATAATTGAGGTAGTAAGTTAAGCAAAAGTCTAAGAACATAATTTTTATGTCACTGGAGCTCTATGCCAACAGATCTGAGGAGAAACAAATACTTCCAGGGTTGGAAAAGAACACCTCAGATGAACAAGGGTGCCCATAATTTCACGTTTTTCTAACCTGGTACTAGAATAAACATAACAGAATAGAAATGTAGCAGAATACTAAAAATAAAAAAAAAAAGAGGTTTTTAAGACAAGCAATGGGAGATAGCAAAAGAATGTATGTATAGTAAACCCGAAAGTACTCAATAGCACCAAGACTTGAGCTAGCCATTTCTTTGCTCAT